AAAAAAAAAAAAAAAAAAAAAAAAAAAAAAAGGCTCAGAGATGTATATTCAACTATCATAGAGGGCCATTTGTTACAAAGTCTTGTCTGTAGTGATGAAAAAACTAGTACACCACCGAACTCAAAAAGTTAAGCAACATAGAGAGTAGTACTACTTGCAGTACAGGAATGCAAATCTAATTAGTACAAACCTCTCCTCCTTAAAGAGTAAACTACCATTAGGCCTTGGCTTTTGATCTATAGAGAATCAATAGGTGTATTAGATATATCATATACGAGCACCAAAAATGGAAAGCCAAAGCATTGTATCGAGCGTATTAGCCTTGACGTATGTGTTTTCACTGTGTTTGGCGATAGAGTGGATTTCTCACGCCAGGCTGAGCTCGGACAATAATGTCAAAGCTGGACTTTTACAAACTTTTATGTACGGGGTCAGGGTCGGATTGGCTTATTTGGTCATGCTTGAAGTTATGTCTTTTAATTCATGCATTTTGCTTGCTGCCATTGCTGGATATTCTGTTGGGTTCTTGGTTTTTGGGAATCAGATGTTTAGAAGATCAAAGATTGTGCCTGATCTTCCTCCTTTGAATTGCTGAGGTAACTTGTTAAAAAAATAATAATAAGAATGGAGATTTGTGTCATAATTTTGAAAAATGAAAGTGACAATACATTGCTATTTATTTTTAATCATTCTATGTAATAACAGAGAACCGTTTTTTCTCCCCTAATTTCAGTAGTTCTTGCAAATTATCCCCTTATTAAACTCTTGATGAACAATGTCATGTAAAATACAAAAATTAACAGATTTTTAATATAAATAACACGTATTACATAAATAATAAGTGTCGTTTAAATAATTTAATAAATAATTACTCTGTTAGCTCATTCTCATGCAGTCACATAAAATTACAATTACCGAGCAGGAGTTATCATATATTTTTATTATACCTAACTTTCTCGTTAATTTGCTTGACCTAAGGACCTTTAGGGGCTTATAAATGGCGCCCAACTGTAATAATGGGAGTAAAAATTTAATAAAAGGGGAAATTTGGCAAGAGTTAGAGAAATTCAGGTAAAAAGCTAAAATTTAAAATTCAGTTGGTATTTTGTGTCAACACCTATAATTCAATGAGTACTTGCATGTGGATGATTATTATATGAGGCCCTCCAAAGAACCATCTTTAGCAGCCCAGTGATAGTTTTGCGGGATGTCTATTGAAGTATATTTAATGTTTGGTTCACACATTTAAGTCGGTGATTTCGATTTATTAGGAGAAACTTTGTAAGTGAATAAATTTTTAAATTCAAATTCTTTGTTACATGAAAAATGCTGTATAAAAATGAAAATCATGAGTTTAAATATATAAACCAAACAGGACCTTATAATCCTAAAAGGAGGACCTCATTTATATTGATTGTGTTTCTCTTGTTTGAGTTTTGTTAGAGTGCTCTTTAACGTCAGACAACGATAATGAGGGGAATAGAAATAGAAAAAGAGACAAATATTTTTTAAAGTGTACAGATCTAAATTTTTATCACTTATTTTTAATTAGTTAAATACTATATTAGTCAAAAGGGTATTAATAAAAAAAAGTCATAAGTTAGAACAATTTTCTCAAACGAAATTCTATGTCCATACCATAAAAACGACACGTCGCTTAGTCACAGCATTTAGCAATTAGCAACGAGAAAACGACACGTAGTAAAGCAAAAACAACTATTGGCTTTAGATTCCATGTGTTTTTTTTTTCTCCGTTTTTCTTTCCTTTTTTGTCGAATAATAAACTTTAAAGTCCATGTAGCATGTTGGCCGTCAAGTGGCTCTTTCTTCGTCAAAAGAAAACGATATCAAACAAACTGCCATTCTGTGATTAAAAAACGTCGTTTTACGTTTTAAAAGAAAGGAAGAAACGACACTAGAAAACGATATACTGCTTTCTATGTCTATCTCTGCTTAACATGTCGTTTCTTGCGAAATGAAGTTGTATTTTGTTGGGGAAAAAAACAGTGTTTACGAAAACAACATGACATTTCCCTTCAAAGAAAATGATGACGAGGATATTGGAAACAATAAATAAACGAGAACTAAAGTACTTTCAACAAAACAAAAAGAAAGAAAGAAGAAACTGAAGTACTTAAATAGAAGTGAATTATAGGTAATGATAATAATCTTAAAAGATTAATACTAAGATACCAACTCAAATTTTAATTTTTATATATCAACTAACGTAATATACGAGTTGTTATTTTTATATTAATGAGTGTTTAAAACATTACTAAGTCAATTAATAATAAGAAATTTTATCTATCAATAAAAAAATGACAACTCATATGTCACATTAATTAATACACAAGAGTTAAAATTTAAATTGGTATATATTACGGTCAAAATTAACACCACAATCAGAGACACGCACATAAATAGAATTTCAAGAAGAAAATTAACTAAAATTAACTAAAGAGATGATCGACTCAAGACGATCGACACGACTATATGAAATCCATAAGGACTACCGTGGATAAAACGGTAAAGAAAGATCCCTTAGAGACCATGAAGCTTAATCCAGCCGGATCCTACGTTGAAAGTACGAATCCAATTAATAAAGAAGAAAAAAGTAACCACAAATCAAATAAAGAAACAAAGAAATGAAAAGTCAACTCAAAAGAAAGACTTCTTTGCATGAAATTCTCCTCAACTTTTCGCAATTAATAAATTGGTTTTTAATGACAATTTGTGTCACGTGTCGTATTTTTATCATATTTTGATTATTTTTTTAAAATTTGTAGTCAACCTGAACACGATCCGTGACACGAAATTTTTTAAAAACCGTAACACGAACACGACACGACCACTTTACGAGTTAATACGACCTGAAAATGACCCGTGATACAAAATTGACTCGTGAATCCAAAATTGACACGAAAATTGTATACTTTTATTTACTTTTTTACATATTAGAAATAACTTAAAATTCATAACCCACTAAATTACAATAACATCCATTGAAATTAAGCAAATAATAGTATAAGATTTTGAGTATAACTATCATGATATCACAAGTTCATAATAAAATTTAAAATATGAAATGAAAAATATATGTATTTTTTAGTTTTTACGAGTTTCGTATCGTGTTCGGGTTAGGCGGGTCCAACCCAAAATTGACCCGTGTTTTTTGTGTCAATTTCAAGTCGACCAAATTCTGACTCGAACCTCTTTTTTCTCAACCCTAACCTGTAAAATTTGTGTCATTTTTGAGTCGTGTTGTCGTGTCATGACCCATATTGCCGGCCCTATTAATATATATATATATATTTTGCAATCGGTTCCTGCAACTTGAAAATCTGTTGAATTACTTGTCTAATTGAAAAACGGTGTTAAAAAATTGGACGAAATAGTAACGTGCTCCTCACGTGCATCACTTACCAGGGGCATTCATGGTCCCTTTGGAAAAAAGAAAGCAATTTTTTTAAAGAAAAAAACAACGAGAAAGAAAGAAACCCGGTTTATGGTTTCTTACCATCCAAAGCTCATCAATCTCAAAAACCCAATTCCAAAACAAACCCAGTTCGTCCCTCACCCCTTCAAGCCAAAAATAACTGAAAAACAGTATTGTCATGCAACGATGGTGATCCATCCGTGGATCTGAAAATGGAGATCTCAAACTCCATCGGATCCAGCCATGGACAAGGAAGTTTAGACAGCCAAAAAATAAAAACAAAAAAACAAAAGAAAAACGTGAGTCTTATCTCCTTTACACTCTCCCTCCTCAACCACAAATCCGAACAATAACCAAGAAGAGATCCATTCAAAAAAAAAAAGAAAAAAAAAAACCAAGGAGAGATCCAGTCGAGCTCCATAGATTTGAAATTAAAACTATGAGATTTGTTCAATCTCCAAAGTCCAAACATAAATCATAAAGTAGGGAGATTATTGGCCAAACTAAATTTTTTTTACTTCTATGAGATGGTAAGCATTTTTAATAAGCAATAAAATTCAAATACCCTAAATAAGGATTGAAGAAAAAAGAGGGCTGCTGCGATATCGACGATTTGGCGGGGATCTGCGCAGTCATCCGGAAGGGACGGCTGCGATGTCGGAAATCTAGCTGGGGCGGGATAGTGGGCTGTTGCGACGGCGTCATCTAGCGAGGACGGTGCTGCCACGCCGGAGATTTCGCTCGGGGATCTAGCAGAGGCGGGGAAGTGGGTTATTCGTTGTTACGATGACGTCATCCGGCGGGAATGGCGTTGCGGCGTCAAGATCCGTTGGGACGGCGGCATCAGACGAGGTTGGAGCGCGACGGTTATTTTTAGTGTAAAAAAACTCATTAATTTCTCTATTTTTTTTCTCAAAAAAAAAAAAAAAATTAAAATTAAAAAATAATTAAAAATTATTTTTTATTTCTTTCTCATTTTATATTAAATTAAAAAATCACACCAAACATTATTTTAAAAATATTTTTATTTTTTTTTAAAAATATAAAAAATAAAAATAAAATCAATTCCAAACACAGTTTTATTTTCTCATTTTTGTTTTCTTTTGTTTTCTTCTGTTTTTTCTTTTGTTTTTTTTAATACTAATTTGATCAAAAAGACATGTTATACCCTCATTTTTAAAGTCAGGTGCTTCTCACGTGACAAAAATCTGTCAAAAATTTAACACATCAAGTGGACCAGCAATACAACAGATTTTCAAGTTGAGCTGATTGCAAAAAATAAATAAATAAAATAAAATAAATAAATAAATAAATAAGAATCAATCTGCCAATTATGAAAAATTGAGGTGGGTCCCGTGAAAAAAATTAAAGAAAAAATAAACTAATCTCTTATAAAAAGAGAATGAAAATCACGAATTGGATGTGGAATTATTAAAGTTATACCTCATTCTTCGCATTCTCCTTTTTCTAGATTCTATCTCTAGATTCTTTCTTTTTCTTCTTATTCTTCTTCTTCTTCACTCTTATTGTGATTGTATTTTTTACAAAATATAGTGAAATCTCGAAATTCTACAGTGGTGTAGTCTTTATATTAAAGATAAATTATTATGAATTCGTATATTCATTTATTTTTTTATATTTTATGTTCACTTGTTTACGTTTAATCAATTTTAATCGATTCAAATTGATTCGCTAATACGATTGTTCGTCATCTGAGAGCGGTTATTAACCCTTTAAATAAATATGAAAACACAAAATTATTCCGACCTCCACAGTATCCCTAACATTATTCATCTTGAAAACACTAAAAATTATACTTTTTCTTAATTGAAGATAAAAAAAATGCACATATAATCAGTAAATACTGACATTATATTAAAGCAAGTAATATGCTGTTTTTTTTTTTATTTTACTTTTTATCTTTAACCCCTCAACGAAAAAAGAAAACTGACATATATATAGGAAAGAAAAAAGTGGAGGATTCCGTCATAAAAGAAAACGAATTATTTCGACACGGCCAAACGCCAAAAGCCAAAGAACTTGTCACATTACTTAATTTACTATCAATGTTAACTTATATTTAATTAGAAGAAGACGTGAAGACGCTATATTTAGTATGTTGCTATATTTTATATACTATTATTGAATTAACATAATGGTATTTCAAATATTATATCTATTTGTACGCTTTGAAGTCTTTTTATGTGAATTTAACATTAATGTCAATATTAGAAGTGCTATTAGCTTACTTCGCTCCCGTAGAGCAAAAAAAAAACTAGTGGTAAACCTTTGTTGTCTCTTAAACACTCTCATTTGTTAATTTTTTTTTGCTAAATACTCTCATTTGTTAATTGTTATAAATAGAAAATATTATTCCTTCAAAAAATATATATTATCTCTCTCAAAAAAAAAAAAAAAATGAAAGACCTTCTAAAAAGTTTGAGTGACGTTACCGGCACCATTACGGGATTTCCATTTGCAATTGGATGTATCCTGCAATTTTCGTACTCCACCAAATATGATGTTTCGGATTTTTTTTTTCCTGAGAAACCATGGCCACAATAATTAATATTAGGCTTTGCTGTTTTGGGAACTTAGTTTTCAGTTAAAGATGGCGTGTTGACTTCTCATTATGCGATATTAATGACATGAATTTGTTTATTTATATATCAGCTTGATGTAGAACTGGCTATCAAATGGCGTTTTCTATACTTCTATTGGAAGGACAAAACGCATTTAGCGACTCAACCTCAACCACATAAGTCTAAATCAAACGATTAAAGGTGTAATAAATATAGCAGTTTCAACAAAAGGAATTAAAGAGGCACATAGTGAATTGAGCATACATTTAGCTCTTCAAACGCCCCATAAACACCGTAAAAGGCCATAGATAACTTTGATTGATTGAAGTCGAAAGACCAAAAGCACGTAAGCCTATCACAATACCGCAAAGAATCATAATTTGCGGAGTAAATACAATGATAACACCAGAAGATGTGGAGACCACATGCGTTGTTATAATAAAAAACCAACACAACAACGTAAATACTCTAACACGAAACGGTGAAAACATCAACGTCTTTATTAAAATTTAAAACCAAATAAATACTATAAAATATGGACTCAGCCACACGGACGGATAGATATGCTGGCACCATACCAACCACCATGACATAGAAGCCAGATCTGCCGGCTCCAAGCCGGCCCACTACAATTAATTTCAGCTATAGAGTTCTTATGCAATGCATTGCGTTATGCGTACAATAACTACAATGACATCTAACAAGTATTAGATGTGTACTGAAACATAGTAAGTACAATGACTTTTTTTTTTCTTTCAAAAAAAGTACGTACTTTTTTCTGGACTTTATAAAAAAAAATACGTTTTTTTAAAGAAAAAGAGAAAATTATGAAGTAATAAGACATGTTGTCTTGCCTTATCAGTAGTGGGGGCATAATTTTTATTTTAGTCATTTGGTTGAATTTTAGTAATCTGATCCATCAAGAACGTAAATACTTTTTTATCATAAGATGCATAATTTTTAATTTGGTTTACTGGTTTGATGTGCCCTACCATAAAGTTTTCAAGAAAAGGGAAAAGAAGAAATTTCATTCCACAACTATAATGTCTGGACTCAACGATTTAAAAATCCAATATAAGATCTTTTAGATAATAGTAAAAAAAAAAAAAAAAATTATGTATTCAATTGAAATACACAAAACACGAATGCTATTTTACCTTCTCATACTATTTCTAAGCACACAAAAAAAAAATTAGTTGTTTGAAAATACTTTTTTACCCTAAATAGAAGAAATAACGAGTTTGAGTTTGAGGACAATAATTTCATCGACCATCGACACAATTTAATTTTTTTTTTAAAAAATAAAAAATTATTTTTAAATATAAAAAAAGTTAAAGATATGAAAATTACCGATTTTGCGATTTGATAATTAAAAAACCGTCATATTTTTTAAGGATGACAGTGTCCTTTCCTCCAATTAATTTCAACTAAATCACATCAAAGAAATTAAATGTATGATTTATTAGATGCTAATTTTATCTTTTTAAAGAAATACAGTATTCTAAAAAAATACAGAATAGAGTTTTGTATTTAAAATTACAGAATAAGTTATTGTATTTCAGTTAAACAGGTTTTTTTTTCTCTTTTTGAGGATCACAAAAATTGTTGTTATCCAGATGGATATCTGATATTTTAAAAAAAATTCTTTCCCACACTTGCCTTGTAGTGTGTACTGCACATAACCCTTTCTGTACTGCCAATTCCCTTATCCGACTATCAAATGTACTATAAAATGTTTCAATTAATACCTCTCTTAATTGAGTTTTGACATTGACTTATTACAAACATTGACAAAAATAACAAGGAAAAAAAAAAGGTCTACATATTTTTATATTGAAATATACAGTGAGAGAACCCAGCATGCTTCATGCCCGTCTCCGATTGTATCGAACGACTAAAACACTGTAATTAAGGGTGTCAATTCATGGATCATATTCGTGTCAATCTGTTTATTAATCGTGTTAAAAAATATCAATTTAAACACGATATATTTATTAAACGTGTCAAAAATATCAACTCAACCACGATCTATTTATTAATCGTATTAATCATATCAACTTGTATAATCCATTTAAATTAATATATTAAATAAATAATTAATATAATAATGACTTATTTAACACGGTCAAGACATGTTTAACATGTTTATTGGTCAATTTATCTTTTTCTTTAAGAAAAATAAATGAATTTTACCTATAAATATTAAAATTCACATTATTTATATTTAATATATCATATAAACTTTCATGTTATATCATATATTATTAGATTGCAGATGACAATATAGTTAATCGTATCACCTCATGTTAGGAGATCAACTCTAACTCAACTTATTTATTAATCGTGTCAACCTGATTATGATCTAAATTCATTTATAATAAACCCAAATCTACTAATTTTGTGTGGATTTTAAGTCGTATTGCGTATCATTATTCGGATTGTCAGCCCTAACTGTTATTCAAAATATTTAAATAATTATTTGAGGACGTATTTTGTCATAAATCACTTATTTTGACCCTTCTATGTGTGTAATTTACTAGAATTACTTTTTTTTTAACAAGAAAAAATAGAAATTAAACAAACCAACTTGACAGCAGCCTTTATAGCTCTCATAAATACTGACCACATACACCTTCATATCTTCATACACCCGTCCAAAGAAACCAAACACCCTTAAACATCTCTCAGATATCTCTATAGAGAGAGAGAGAGAGAGAGAGAGAGAGAAGAAGGAGAAGAAGAAGGAGGAGGAGAAGAAGAAGCAGCCATGGATGGAATGGACATGACACCGCCACCACCACCACCATCATCATCATCATCCATGAGCAACCATAGCATGCATAATGATCACAATATGATGATGCACATGACCTTCTTCTGGGGCTCAAACTCCGAGATTCTCTTCTCCGGTTGGCCCGGCACGAGAACCGGCATGTACGTGCTGGCTCTCATCTTCGTCTTCGTTCTCGCCGTCCTCGTCGAGTGGCTCTCCCACTGCCGGTTCATCAAGCCGGCGGCCGGTTCGGCCTCCCGGGTCAGGGCCGGTCTGCTCCAGACCCTCCTGCACGCCCTCAGGCTCGGCTTGGCTTATTTGGTCATGTTGGCCGTCATGTCGTTCAACGCCGGCGTTTTCTTGGTCGTCGTCGCCGGCCACGCCGTCGGGTTCTTGGTCTTCGGAAGCGCAGTTTTCAAGAGAGGGGACGGGGACAAAGTGGGCACTGATCTTCCGCCGATGAGTACTTGTTGAAAATTAATGGATTTTTGATGTTATTAGATATTGGGAAATGATCATCGATTTAAATTTTTAATTTAAATTAAAATATAATTTTATGTAAAAAATTTTTATTATAATAAAAAAATTAAATATTATTATTTTTAAAAATTTTTTAATGTATTAAAATTTGAATTTTAAATTTAAATGAGTGAAAGAACGGGTCTTATAATTTCTCTTAATTTTTTTTTGGTGTTTTTGAATGAATAAATAGTCATGAGATCTGATCCTACTCTATATGTTAGTGAAACCCTAAAATGGAATTATAAGTGCGAATTTCGCTTCTTCTTCTTTTTTTTTTTTTTTTTTTTTTTTATGAAGATCCAAGAATGCTTGTCGTTTGGTCTTATTTTTCTTTTGCAAGCATTGATATTGCTCAAAGGGTGTATTTTGAAGTCGTGTGACTGTACTAGGACTCGATAGATGTGCTTACCCACAATTACAAGCAAAAGGAAACAAAGATTGTTCATATACAAAAGAAAACAGAGAATTATGTAGTAACATTTGAAAAATACCTTGTAATTAAAATATTTTTAACCATCAAATCGTTTTCACATTTTGTTGATTCACCGTACCTTTTGTCTGATACGATCCAAATAATACGATGCAATGGTTCAAATTTGAGTATTGCTAGTAGGATTTTCTGCATTCTCTACCTTTATATTTTAACTTAAGAAGAAAACGACTATAAAAGAACGACACATAACTAAATAGGTATCACACCTTCTTACTAACAACTCACATCCCTCATTTAACTTCAGCCAATTAAACTTTAATATAAAATTAGATTTGCTTTTTTTTTTTTTTTTTTTTTTTTTTTTTTTGTTATGAAGATCCAAGAATGGACTGATTCTCATCAGCATATCGGATTAGAAAAATTAAGGGGAAAAGTAAACAGGAAATAAAGAGAGATTTTCTACTATATATTTTACAACTAAAAAACGAACGGGGTCATATATGAATATATCATTCATTTTTTTAGCAGTTGCTGGTTTGAGGGATCCAGCGGATGTTTATTTTTCATCTCCTCAAAATTAATAATATCATGTTAAATTAATTGCTATGGTATGTTCTTTTAATTGGCATAGCATTTTAAGTTCAATTTTAATTTATCAAACATAATATATATATATATATATATATATATAATATTGTTGGAGGAACCTGATAAGGGATAGGAAAAAGCACGGTTAAGAACCTCTTTGTGGCTGTAAATGCGAAGTGAACATTCAAGACTTCAAAATTGTTTTTTTTTTTTTTTTCTTTGGCTAATAGAAGCTTGTAGAAGATATTTGTAGTTTTGTACTAGTTGAATCAGATTTGAGTTTTTAATTCGAGTTGAAATGTAATTTTATGTGAGAGTTTTTCAGTAGCAGAAAAAATTAAATATAACTTTTTAATAGAATTTTTAACTGTAATAAAATTAAAATTAAAAACTTAAATTGATAAAACAAACGAGGCCCTAAATGTCTATCTTTATGCTTTTGCCTATCAGAATCTTGAATATACGTCGAGTTCTTCAAGTTGAGGTCTACTATATACATCCTTAAATCCATAGGACGACTGTGCGAAATGGTCGAAATTCACAGGACTGACCAGTCTAGTCCACACGGCCCCACCCAAAACTTATAGAAAGAATCAATTGGTTCTATCGGTATAATTATGAAGGGTCTAAATTTATTGTTCGCACATTAACAATCCAAGTTTTTCTCGTCGATTAATGGTCTCGTATACCCAACATAAGTGAGTATTATCAGTTTTAAAGTTGGAGTTCTTTTTGTGAGGATGTGGGATTCGAAAGGTGTGTTGTGCATGAAGGAGACGTTATAATTAATATATAAATTCAAAAAGATTGAGTTTTGTATGACTTTACGTAACTTTAACTTTGGTTTGATTATTTATGTCTTGTGGGATTTAAAATTTGGATAACATGTTATTGTTCTTAATCATGTAAAGTTTTTGCTTTGACTTGTATTTAACTTTTATTTGAACCTTGCGTATGAGAAATATGAAATATTATAACACTAACATACATTTTCTTTAAAGTTTTCAACCTTTAAATAACTTAAAAAGACAATAAAAATAAAATAAAAAGGCCACAGAATCGAGAAAATTATTTTTTTTTTTAAAATCACTTGGACCACTAAAACCATCTTATTGACCAAACCAACGTTTGGAATGGACCAAGACCACAATCCTAATTTACTCCAAAAGAATGAACTTGGCGGTTTCCCAACTAGATGTTGATTCGAGATGGGGTTTCTTTGATTGATGGGCAGAATTGCTCGGTTATTGTAGACTTCTAATGGCGCATTGATCATCTTTTCTCATACTACAATTTTTTTTTTTTTTTTTGTTGAAAGGGAATTTATTGTTCACATAATATAATTTAAAAACTCAGTACAATATGTTTATTTTAACCACAGACGGGAAGTAAATAAAGGTCTGAAAGTAAAACCAATGCATGCCAGCTGCAAATTTAAAAGAGAAAAATCCAAGGAATATAGTAACATTTTTTGTGATTGCATGTTTGATCATCCCCTAATGATTTCTTTTGTATCTGCTGACGTGCCATGTAGATTATAGTATTAGAGGAAGTTAGTTTTATTTTATTTTAAATTTGAATTTGTAATTAGTTATTGGGAGAATGTAGTATATAGCAGACTTATGAAACTAAATTAAGTAAATAGTAAAATGTAATTAGGGCTGAAATTTGATTTATTTAGTATGTATATTTAGGAAATTAAGCGACTGATTACTTGAACTTTGAATTCCCTTGTAATGTATATATTTATCAGTTGTTATCATTAATGGAAAGGGCGCTAAGCCATTAATTTTTGAAACAATCTTCTATGTAAAGATGGTAAGATATCATGTGATCAATGAGCATGCTAAATGAGAGGCAAGCAAAATTAGCAAAATGAACAAATTCAAATCATGAAAAGTTGAAAGTATTAGCTGGCTTTCCACAATAGGGTTTAATTTTGGTCAAAATTTTAGGTGGCATATATGTTATTCCATTCCATATAGATAACTTCCCAAATTACAGAAATTAAGGACACCAATTAAAGCGTAGGCTTAACAGTTGCGTGGGGAGAATTAGAGTTTTCTGTAACTTAACGCGTATTGTTGAAGTTTACCAATAGAACCTATAGTTTATACGAGACATTTTTGTATATCTTGTTCGAAAATTTGTGTGCGTGTGTGTCTATATATATACATACATACATATATGTATGTATATATGCATACATATATATGTATGTATATATGCATACATATATATATATATATGTATGGATGCAAACTTACCATCATAGTAGCTAGGGGAAAAAAAACAACGCTCCATGTTGTTTCAAAAATTCATTCTTCAGTAAAGGAAAATAAATAAATAAATAGCGAAAAAAAAGATTTTAATTGATATTTTTTAGCAGCATGACCTAATAGAATTAGTCCTGCAGGTTGTTTGAACAATAATTTTTTCCATAAAAAAAAGTCAAAGAATTTTATATCTACGAGCAAGAGAAAGAAAGAAAAATATTGAGAAGCTTATTAGAAGTATACGTAATTAAATCTTGTTTATTTCTTCGTAGAAGGAATATTCTCTATTAATTATGGTAACAAATTCAAATAATTGGAATCTACACACTGACAGAACATAGAAATTAGGATGCACTCACACTAATCTTCAAATTTCAGTATGCCTTGCAACAACAAAATACCTAGAAACATCATTAATTTCCTGTGTTTTCTGTTCACTTTAAAGAATTTTTTTTTTGGTAATATAATTAGGGAAGAAGAAAACAAAACCTTGTTTCCACGTGTTAATTATATATGCATCCTTTGGGTACGAAATTGAAATCTTGCACGGCAGAATCCCTAGCAGCCATTGAAGGAAAAAAATGAACACCTCTTCAATGATCACAAACGACATGAACCACACCAAAACGACGATGATGGCAACGATGCAAATTACATTTCAGAAATAGTAGGAAATAGGCCAATATGAAAAGCTTAAGAAAGTATATAGTCCAATTTTTAGTTATAGAAATTAATAGGTCATAACTTGTCAAGTTATGGTTCATAACCAGATAAGTTATGGACAAACTTGTCAAGTTATAGTTCATAACCAGATAAGTTATGGACAATAACTTGTCAAGTTATGGTTTATACTAGACAAGTTATGGACGAAAATAATAATTTGATCTATTTATTAACTTATGTAAACTATTGGTCTATTAATTTTAATTCATCACAAGTCTTTGCCTATTTCTCTCTTTCTCCGGGCAAAAACGGCGAGATACTCTTCTCGGGTTGGCCCGGCCCGCGATCCGGCAAGTACTTACTGGGCCTCCAGAGTCCATAGTCCACAGTTTCTTTCCCCTTGTTTTACTTTGATAAATTTCATTGCAAATCAAAATTATAATGTCTTTGCTGTATACATCGATTTGGATAACGTAGGATCATGTACTGATTATTATAATGTTTAGCTGATTGTTGTTGATAAAATGTGTATTTCACGCTTTATATCATCAGGCAGAGAGAGACTGGAACTTGTAATCCAGTACTTAGTTTTTATTTCCCCCTTTAATGTCTGCAGTTATATATAAGATAAATTTTATAAATTCCACGTAATTTTTGGCACTGTAACAACATGCTCCCCAAATTTTAATTTATATCATTCGTTCCGCTCTCGCCGTCTTCGAAATTGTATCAACTTTGTTCATTCCCTTAAATTTTTAAGCGAAAATAAACGTGTACAAGAGGCAAGAGTCCTGTTTTTAGAGGCATTTAGATAATTTCACTGAAATTTAAAGTTTAAATTTTAATTTTAACTTAAGTTTCCTCTTAAAAAAACTAAACTTAAGCTCAAAATTATAATTATTAAAATCAAATATGAAACTAAAAAAAAAAAAATTAAAATATTTAAAATAAAATTCTCTCTCTCATCTCTCTCTTCTAAGCCATGAGGTCTT